CTCTCTCTCTCTCTCTCTCTCCTCCCTCCCTCCCTCCCTCTCTCTCTCTCTCTCTCTCTCATCTTTTCCCATATGTCTATTTTTGCAGCATATTCCAAGAGCGATCTATTAACAGCCTGTATCACAACCATTTTGTTGAAATACGTTACATTTTGGACTTGTACATTGGAAGGAACTTCTCACTGCTGGACTTAGAATGGTTTTCTGTGTATCTCTCATTTGAACTGGAGTTCCAGCCTATGACCCCACCTCATAAAAGGATCGTTAATCGTTATGACAATACTGGGAAGGCACACTTCCCAGCTTTGCAATGACATTCCCTGAAGCCATAGTTAAGGCAGGCTGTTCAAGAGTAACTAGCTGTTCAGTGGAGGGAGAAGGCTGTTTCTGGTATCTGTGATGCATTTTATCTCCCAAAGCATTTCCAAAGTGACAGAGAATTTTCTAATTAACAATTCTTATCATCACAAACAGTCCAAATACTTGTTTCCCATCTCACAGAGGGAGAAAGAAATAACTGTGGCTTAGCAGATCACCAGCTTGCTGGCAGTCAGGTTTCTTGTACCAAATGTCTTTCTATTTTGTGGGACCTTCTTAATAAAATCTAGCAAGATCATAAAATGAAGAACATAACATTCTTCTGTCCACAGATTGGCCTTTCTTTAAGATTTCATACTCTGTGGCAAAGATGGAAGAAATACTCCAGACCTTCAGGAGATTGACTACCCACCCAATGGGATCAATAGACAAATTAATAAAGCCAGATCAGTGTCATGGAATTTTTGCCAAAGACAGGAGCACAACACTGAGGAGAAGAACCATGTTTATTGCAATGATCATTGGGTGCCTGTTTTCCAAGAAAGAGGGACCCTGAACAATAGAAAAGCATAGAATTTATAGACTTTTGAGGTTGAGAGGTGGGAAATCTGAGGGATCTGACTGGAGGATAGATTTGGTTAGGTGTTAGATGGGGGATAAATGGTTTTTTCTTTTGTGAGATAAGAACCAAAAACCCTTAAACAGCCAGGTGATGGCCCTCTCATTGTTTCAGTATGAACATGGTCACTCGTGGGTCATGCAATAGCTTGGAGCTAATCCAACTTTGCATGAGCAAAGAATGGCAGGAGGAAGTGGAGAAGAGAGATTGCAGGAGAGGCAAGGGTAGGGGGCAGAAAGAGAGACAAGGGAGAAGGGGGAGTAAAGAGTTTGCTGGAGAGGCGGGGGGGGGGGGAAGAGGGTCCCGCTTTATTTTTTTATTTTTCCATCACATCAGTTTGCAGGGAGGACCCACTGGTAGGCAAGAGACAGGCAAATCCCACCCCCCCAACGACAGGACACCATTGGTTGTCATCTATAGCTCATGGTTCAAACCACTAGGCATGCAGACAACTACCAACCTGAAGCAGATTTTCACAAGCAACAGGAAACAACAGGACAAACATGG